TGTAACATCTACAAATACCTCATTGGCTAAAGCAAGTCCCATAGTTGAGCCCCAAATCAAGGAACAGATAAGTATACTCTGCCTTTTGTGAGAGTAGCTTCAAAGTTGCAAGGCAATTTATATCTGTCTCACTGCAAAACAGACTCATCCTTATCCCAAGACTCCCAACAGCATCTTCCAATCATGGCATCAGGATTAAAATCCAAAATCTTATGAGGTACATCAGACTTAAATGTGGTTCTCCTTGATCTGGAAACCTATGAACTAAAATGTGTGTGTGTGTGTGTGTGTGTGTGTGTGTGTAATCTCCCCCCACCACACCCTTACCATAGAACGATGGAACAAGGTTAGAACAGTGACATTTAACTCTTTAATCAAAAAGGAGAGGATCAGAAGGCATTAGCATTCACTTGTTCTGAAATACCGTCGGGAAAATGTCCCACTACTCCAGGAGTGAGCAATTTTCCTTGATTAGACCCTAACTCTGCTCCTTGGAGTGGGTCTCCAGTCCATTGTTCTCCACTGCTCTTGGTTTCAACTTCCAAAGAGGGCATTGAAGAATATGCCTCTTCTCATACTAAGAAGCTTTCTCAGCTACGTCCCGCCTGTAAAACCTTGTTGGCCCTGAGGTCTTTTTACATCTCAGTCTCTTTCCTAGCTGGTGATGTATTTGCCAATACAGCTCTCTCCAAAAACATACATTTTCTATGTATTGTTTTCAGTGAACTCTATTTGACAAACCATACCCACAATTCTTTTTGGGACATGCCTCTCATACTGCACTCTGTTATGATCTTCCACCCATTGGGCTTCTGAGGAACCCTGTCTTTAAGTTTTATAGAAACCCATTTGTCCAGCTGAGAAGATCTTCCAGGCTTCACCTCTCAGATGTCTTAGTAAAAGGAGTTACAGCAATGCCCTTAATTAAAATTTCCCCTAAGCTGAATCTGAGACTCTTACTGGCTGGAGATGTAGAGTTTTATTTTCCAAATAAGCAAGTACTAAGCTCTTTAAATCCCTCTAAGTTCTTCGTGCAAGTTGGCAGGGTTTTTTTTTTTTCTGAATTTATCTCTCTATAGCACCTTATAAAATGGAACTAAAAGTAACTTGCTCATACTTTCAGCATAAGCCTAGAAACCATCCTATCTTTCATATTACTACAGGCAGCAGTTTTACCAAATACAGGTTTCCATTTTTCCAGCTTCTATAACAGTTTTCTTGCCATCTACCACCTGTTCCCCAAGCTCATACCATATGTTTTAGGTTCTTGTTACAGTAGCATCCCAGTATTAGGTTTCCCATATCAGCTAGCTATTGCTACATAACAAACAACCACAAGATCTCAGAGATATGTAACACCATGACATGCAATTCTCTCGTGGGTCTGCAGGTCAGCTAGAGCAGCTTCAGGCAGCAGTGACTGAAGCAGCTCTGCTCCACATCACAGGTCTGTGGGCAAGTAGAGCAGTTCTGCTCCACAGATATCCATGCAGGGGCCCAGACTGTCAAGTAGCGGCTACCCTGGGGAAAACTTCTCTTTATTGATGGGACAGAAGTACAAGAAGGTAAGCCCCATTAGAACATTAGACAAGCACATTTCAAGCCCCTGCTTTGTCACATCCACTAACATCCCACTGTCCAAACAAGTCCCACAACTTGAGCCCAAAGTCAAAGGGTGGAAAAGTATACTGCCTTTTGTGTAAAGAACTTCATTTAGAATGGTCTAGGATAGGATACAGGGAGGGGCCAGCAGTGTGTCACATCCTCCATGGTAGTATGTGGGATACTGGTTGCCAGGCTGCCCTTCTGTGCTCCTGCTTCCAGAAACATGCAGCTGTTATAAAGCTGTGGTGCCAAGCCATGGTCAATAGCTTTTTAAAGGTTCCTTGTGAGGGAATCCTGGTAAGTGAGGATCACCAGCCCAGCTCCTAGTTTTAGGCAGTGAACCTGTCCCTTGTCTCCATCTTCTCTAGGGCACTTTTATTTTCTATTCTCTAAAAGGATATAGACTCTAAATTGCTTCTACCTACTTCACTACCCAAGAGCCAGCAAGTCCATGACTCCACTTCCTACTTTCTTCATTGCTTTCTTTTTTTTTCCTGGCTCACAGAAATGTTTATCTTCTTGAACAAAGTTATGTCTTTTTCTTTTCTAAACTGTGTATTTTTTTTCCTTTCACATGTTATGTATCAAAGCCAAGGATTTACAGCAGGAGGACACCTTGTACCCTGTGCTTTAAACAGCACTGCCACCCAAAGTCCTGGAATCCTATAAGGAGGCTCTCTCTTATTTTCTATGGAGGTCTTTAAACATAAAATCTGTTTTAATATCTCTTAGCACTTAAGTATGCGAAATTTAGTCCATTATAAAAAAAACAACCATTTTCTTGAAAGATAGACATAAATATTCAAATTCAGTACATTAAAAAAAAAGTTCAGAAAAATTATATAGAACAAAAATAGAAAATAGTTCTGTATTCTTGCCAGTAAATCTGATCACTAAAATAAATTCCTTTAAATGTGTATACTAAGTATTAATATATTTAACACAACCTGGCTGTCTCATCCTCTTATCCAAACTTTTATTTCTTTTTTGACTTTTTATTATATAAAATTTATTTTGGAAAATTTCAAGTATATATATGCAGAAGATAGTGTAATGACCTGTATGTACCCATGACTGAGTTTCATAATGATTAATCCGGATAAATCTTGTTTCATTTATAAATCTTGTTTCATTTCATCATTAGGAAATGATGACCCACATACCAAATCCAGCCTTACTGGCTGTTTCTATAAGTAAAGTTTTATTAGAACACAGCAATGCTCTCTTATTTACATGTTGTCTATGCCTGCTTCCATGCTATAATAGCAGAGATGAATAGTTACAGCAGAGATTGTATGGCCAGAAAAGCCAGAAATATTTATTATCCAGCAATTTATAAAAAAAAAAGTTTGCTGATCCCTGAACTACACTCTCATCTACTTCCCTCAGCAAAAATATATTTCACATTTTATTTTAAAATATTTCAGTGTGTATTCTAAAATATAAGGACTCTGAAAAACAATACCACTGTTACACTAAAAAAATTAGCAGTAATTCATTAGTTTTATCTCGTCTACAAAATTCCCATTGAATAGCAAGTGGAAATTCTTTAATATTTCTTCTTCTTTGTAACTGACTCTTCAGGTCCACCTATAGTTTAACAAGCCATTTTCTTACCTTTGAAAGAGCTGCAGACTTTATTTTCATTAGTAGTTCATTCTCAGTAATTTTAATAGCTTAACAAACACTTTTTCTGTAGATGACCCCAACGAATAAAATATTCTGAATTTAACAAAGCATGTGAGAAAGTTAACAAGCAGTAATAGCACAATCATCAGAGAGGTTTCAGCAAAATTACAATTTGAGGTATATTAAAGGTCCTGTGAAAAATAGGGCATATAAAGGCAATCTCACATTTTTAAAAGGCTAATCATTTTTTGTCACACTGGTTTTTCTTGGGATCAAGGTGTTCACTTTTAGAAGTTGTAACTGGTAAGCGATTATTAGCATTTCTATGTAACATTTTATATTAAAATAGCTCTTGACAACTTACATGACAGTTTTACCAGCACTATCTCATGTAATGTTTACAGCAATCTCATGACTTAGAGATTATTTTCATACTAAATGTTTCCATTAAGACACAAAATCCGTATCATCTGCTTGAAGTCCACCAGCCACACTGCTGAACTGGCAGTCTTACTATAGAGCAGTTTTAAACAGAATTTATCACTTTTTACAACATTGGCTATACAAGTGTACTATCCTATGCAAATTGTT